AAAATGTGAGACCATATAATCATCTTGTCCCGTGAAATTTCGAACATAGTCGCCGCGCTGCATGATATTAATAACATTATCAGATTTAGGTGTGGTAGTAATACTGGTGTGAGGGTTAGAGGACGCCATTGTAGTGTTAGTATTAAGCAAGTTAGTATTCTTACTCCTAACAGAAGGCTGGGTTAATAAGGTTGTTACCAATTTAGCAACAGACACACTATCACCTGTAACAGGGGTAACTGCTTTTGTATACTTAGGTGAGGAACTATAGTGATTACCAGATTGTAGGGTACGACGGTTTAAGTCGTCAAATGATTCGTCTATAACTTTCTCACTACTTCCTGTCGACTCATTTAACTGTGCTCCCGACTCAAAATCTATGTCAGTCTGGGCTTTATCATCGACGAGTTGGTTATAAGCAAACAGTTGCGCTAGGCTTTCAATTTCATCTACATTAGACATGGGAACTTAGAAATTATCTATTAGTCCCCTTTGGGTCAATGAATACTTAACAGTAAACAGATCACTTGCCTCTCATTTACAAGACAAATGAATATGAATTGTAGTTAATTATTACACTATCAATAAGAAGACAGACACACAAACCACTGTAAATTATAGGATTTCAATACATTCATCTTACATTCGACACTTTATCATTGAAATAATCCTATCCGACGAACCTATCGGTGTGAAGATATCTCTCGAACGTGTTCATGTGTGTAGAATTATGTAATTTAAATACCTATTTATACAGGGATTACGTCTGTATAGAAAATGTGATCCTTCCAAGAGTTCTGAGTCGAGTGGTGGGTGGAGTGTGGGCGGGGCCTCTTCCTAGTGATGCGTGCGCTGCTCCTGGTTTCCTTGGCAACGATGAGACGCTTCTGCCTTGGTGAGAGACGAGTCCACTTCAACTAGGGGAGTTTCTCCCTCGGCGATCAGAAACTGCTGATGATTGGTTATCACTCTGGTCGTTGCTGGGTCGCTAGCGAAACTGCGGTATGCCAAGTCTTCACAGTCCACGTATATATGGAGATCTTGTATGATGACACGGGAACTTCGTAATTCACACTGACGACACAACAATACTGTTCAGCTGCTAGTGAAATACCAATTGTTAGTCCAGGTTATGAAACCTTTCTTCAACACTGTAACTAGAAAATGCTGAGTGGGGTCTATTTCAACGGGCTCAATCTGGATATGTACCAACAGGCTGTAATATATGTATATTACGAATTCTGCACGTATTTGTATGTGACAGAGATAAGGAGCACTCACTAAATATCGTCTCAATACGGGATATAGTTTTAAACACTCCTGATTATGTAACGCATCACTGCTGTGTGTTTTCAGTTTTTCACAAAACACCGAAGGTGATACGACTACCAGTTTGAAGAATCCGTACACACCGCTTGCCACCTATATGAATCGGCTGCTTGTGCAATTAACCAGTCCGTTCACATATATTTATATTTGGGTTTTAAGTAACGAAACCCAAACGGTAGTTCCTTTGTTTTATTATAAAAGGTTGTATATATAATTCCTGAGTGTAGATCAACCGTAAGTCTCACTGTCTTGGAGTGAATGAGAAGGGGACGGCGTTTATGTATTATAAACGATAGGTCACGTCCTTACGATATAAGTTGAGGTGAGCTACTGACTGTGAGGACCTCGCAGTGCGGGTTTACAGAAATGCTGAGCTATGGGTCTCGCCCTCTTCGGAGAGTTGCCCGCTCAAGTGTCCAACTCATGTCTTACTCATAGACAGTGGAAATTTACAGGGGGTGAATCTAAATATAATATCAGATGTATTGACCCATTTATATAATATGTTCTGTTGATGAGACAGGGGCCTATTACAACGGCAACGTAGTACACCTCGGACAGGAATTCCCCACGTACACTCGTGAACAAAATCCTGTCGCCCCTTCTGCTGCTCCACGAATCCTGTACATTAGAGCACTCCACACAGGATACCCAGATATTGTGTTAACAAATCAACACCACCACCTAAACATACTACTCGAACCTGGCCCAATATCCACTAGTGGTCATCTCCCTATCATAGCCACACTCTCCACAGCCCCAACACAGATCCCGGCCAGACTAAGATTCAACTGTAACCGGGCTAACTGGGAAAACTTCAAACAAGAATTAAATAACCAGCAATCCATACAATTACACAACAGGCACACTTCTCTAAAAGACCAATCACTGGACATATGGTACGAGCACGTTAGCCAGGCCATGGAACACAATATACCCAAGACCACTTACCGAACATTACCACACCCTCAATACTCACACCAATCAAGAATCATACAGACACAGTTTAGCAACCTAATTAAACTAATCTCACAACAAGGATGGACACCAGAACGCAGACGGATATGCAATATAATACACGAACAGTTAAAAAACATCTCAAAAGAAGCATACAACAGGAACTGGCAGAAGCTGATTTCAGAAACGGAAGGAAACTACAGAACCAGTTCTGGCGGAAAATAAAGCACTTTATGGGAACCTCCAGCAACGAGTCTAACTATACAGTAAATAGAAATCAAGTCAAATTAACAGAACCAACCGAACAAGAGCCGGAATTTAGATCTTTCTGGAGTAAGATTTTTCAAATAACCAAAGAAGAAAACTTAAACTTTTGCATGACCACAGAGAGGGAAGTATCCAACCACAAGTCGCAAATAACCCACATTTGGCAATCGAGTCCACAATTGACCTGAATACACTGGATGACATGTCCCCACTAATCAAACCAATCACGGTGGACGAAATAGTAAGAACAATCAACAGTTTTAAGAACAAGGCTCCTGGAGTCAGTAAAATAAATAAACTCGTTTTACAGCAATTACCAAACAACATGGTATTTCTACTAAGAAATATATTCAGTGCATCCACAGCTTCAGGCCACTACCCAAATAAATTTAAGATAGCAATTATCAGATTGATACCAAAACCAGGAAAAGCCCCCACAGCAGTAGCAAACTCCGGGAAAAATTTTGGAAAAAATAATTAACCACCGATTAAGAACACACCTGGAACTAGAATACAAATACAACCCTAGACAACACGGATTTAGGAAACACAGAGGAACAAACACAGCCATAGCACTTATATACGAAAGTATAGCAAACGCAATGCATAATAGAGAACAGTGCAATATAGTTTTAAGGGACGTGGCAAAAGCGTTCGATAAGATCTGGCACTTGGGAATTAAATATAAAATAACCAATCATGAACTCCCTAACAACTTCACCTCTCTACTGTGTAATTTCTTAGACAATAAAGAAGCACACATTATAATAGGCAATCACAAAGGCCCAAGCTTCAGACTTTATAGTGGAGTACCACAAGGAAGTAGCTTATCCCCAACTCCTTACACAATCTACACTTCAGACATGCCGCCACCAACTCACGGTGAATACATTGCATATGCTGATGATGTCACCCAGATCATCCGCCATCCAGGCAAGGCCAAACAGATGATGGCATTAAAAACAGCTCGCGCCATAATACAAATCAATAATTACGAGAAGAAATGGAAAATAAAAACTAATACACAGAAACTGAAAATCATACACATTTCAAGGATAAACCCAGCACCAATCACAGTAAACAACAAAGAAATACAATACTCAAACGAAGGAAAAATACTGAGGCTAACAATAACAATAACAGGAAAAAATAAACACATAACAGAGCGTAATAAACTAACCCAACTAGAGCTTACAAAATTAAGAAGATTCGGGAAAATGGAAGAGAAAATACAAGTACACCTATTTAAAGCACTTGTCCGCCCCCATCTTGAATACCCCCCAATACCATTAAACACGATCAGCCGTACCAACCAATTGAAACTCCAGGCAACACAAAACAAAGCCATCCGCAGAGCCTCCAAACAACGTCCCCCATACACAACCAAAATTAAAGAGCTTCACGAAAAATACAACATTTTACCATTGAACATAAGAACATACAGACAAGCACAGGCAGTATGGCAAAAACTAGAAGTCATGGAAGACGAAATATATAATCGACTAAAAACAGAGGACACCACAAGATCACACAAATGGTGGCGAAAAAGCCTTCTCCATAACCCTCAAGAGCCAGGACTATTGTACAGTAAACAAAAGTAAACAAAAGATGAGAGTATTCTACTAGTTACACGAGGACCTAGTAGACCTCTCCAACACAATAACAAACAACCCCTTGCTCGCTAGCTCAGCCCCCCCCCCCCTGTTCCCTCGAACCCGGGCGACCTCTCAGTGCGGCCTTCACCACAGCCAATCAAATCGTCTCTGCTAGGTGGATAGCCCACCTGCTTTTATTCTCTACTACTTTATTTCCCGTTTCATAACTTTCCTTCTACCTTACCTCTTCTCTCCCTTCCTATGGCAAACCATTACCATTTTATCTCCATTATCATCATCATCATCACCCTCGTGCAGGTGACGCCTGGCTGTGTGCCCGATTTTTTTCCTACACTTGCGCACTATATGAGTGACCTACGGAGAGCCTAGCGGTGTGTGACGAATGCTGTGTCACGTAGTATCACCAATATTTTCGGATTAATACACTATTTTTGTTTACATTTCCAACAATTACCGTTAATATTGGGATCGATAAACGTATTTTTCCTAAATAAAGAACAATAATCTCTTATTCCTTATCATTAAATTTTGCATCATAGGCAAGGCAAAGGATAACAAATTTGAATCTCTTAAATTTAATTTTGTTGAGTTCTTGAGGAAGCTTTTGTGATAGGAAGGATCCACTTTGAACATTACTTTTCTCGTTTTAACACTCCTCATTATATATAATTAATGCTTGTATTTGATATAACAAGAGTGAATTGTATTACTGTCCGTGTATGATGTATACCTGCAATGTCTATATACATACTGAATCTATGTAAACTTGAATGACAATGTTACCGAATATTTATCTATATACATCCGAATCACCAGCTCAGAACCTCTTACCTGTAGTAGCTGGAGTCTGTTATAGTGTCGAGGACGAAGTGTCGAGGGCTTATGTACCCAAGGTCTATGATGAACCCCAACACCTGCCAGGGATGGTTCTGCGCACACCACCAAGCGCATCATGTTCCCAGGCGGGATTCCCTCAGAGATAAAAAGAACTGATCCGGACACAATGGAGACCTCCCCCCCCCCTCCCAGGATTCGTCATGCTGGTACCACTTGCCTCATAAAACACCCTAAATATATTATATTACCTCATAGCTCAGCTGGTAGAGCATCAACAGGCGGTTACAATTTGGAGGTCCCAGGAGTAACTATGGGACACGCAGGTAGCTATGTTGGCGGCGAGAAGTAGGGCACTGTTGGGGGGGGGGGGGCGATTTACCGGTAAGAATCTCAAGTGACGGAAGTGCGGAGTATCAGGACAGAGTAAGAGCACCATACGTTAACGGCGGCATAATGTTAAACAATTAATCATCTAAGGCGCAATCTTCACATGTTTGAGGATTGGTGACCACATCCCTCCAACCAAAACATTTTCAGGCCGTCTTTACCCGTCCTCCCCAGGTTTCATATTATTCTAGGTACCGCAACTGTCAATTTCATTCATTCATTTTAGTTTGTCTTATCATGTTCTTCCTAACACACAATTACAGTAAAAAGAACAAACCATTAAAAATATTATGAAACAAAATCGCCTTTAACGGTATTGACACAGCGTATAGGAACATTTACATCGGTGGTGGTGGCGGCGTTGAGGTAGATACTTTGGTAGTTAGGCATGTAATAATTGTGGTAGTAGGTGTGGTAGCAGATATTCTAGAAGTTGTGGTAGGAAGGGGCATGTGTGATTTTCATAACTCAACACTTACACCATTTCTTGAGTATCTTACCAGGTGACGTAAATTTTTCTTTATTGATAAAAAATAACCGTTATCGTGTGATATTTAAGCATTTTGATGACGTGGGAAGGGAAAGGCTGTGTGTGTGTGTGTATGTGCGTGTGTGGTGGAGGGTGTGTAAGCCTGATACTTTGCTGTTGTTAACCCTTCCTTCCCTCTTACCCCCCTTCCTTCCCTCTTACCCCCCATTCCTTCTTTCCCTCTTACTTTGATTGACGTCACCAGTTTAGTCATGATAGTTGTAATGACTACTGTATAAAAACAAACTGTATCACTTTAATATAAGACACCCCATATTAGTTCATCTGAAGATTAACCATCCGAACACCTATCTAATTTAACTTGACCAACCGTAATCAAACCTAATCTAACCTACTCCACCTCCCCTCCCCTCCCCCACGTAGCGTTAGAGTGGTTAATCTTCAGGGGAAATAAATTGAGGTGCTTAATCTTCAATAAATCCAAAATAATATAAATAATGTAATGATAATAACACGGATGATTCAAATAGGAGATAGGAGGAGACAATGGAGCCATGTAATGCTGACGAACAGAAAACGGATTCGTAAACACGCGAAGCTACCCTTCGCTCACAAACAAAAGCAATACAGTAACACAAGCTAATGTGCTGTTCTAACACATTATGGCAATACACCTTAACCTAATGATAGTATTACATAAGGTGATGGTAGGTAGAAGTGGGAAGTGTGTGTTTGTGTGGGTGTGTGGATGAGGGTGTAGTGGTGCAGAGGGTGCGTGGGAAATTCGACAGGTGAAGGAATCTAAACACACCATCATCACGATCCTTGCACTTCCCTCCTTCACTTATACAAGAATCATCCCAACTTATAATATTCCATGTGCTGTTATTTATAGACATCGAAGAAGACATTTTGTTGCTCTTTCACAATATTTGGATGCATGTTTGTATATAAGTATGTTGTATAAATGTACTGTATGTATCAGTGTCTATATATGGGTGTATTGTATAACTATATGACTGTATGTATGAATAGTTTTCAATCAAAGCCCAGTGCATAATATGGAAATAAGTCTGTTGAGATGAAAACAAAATGGATGTAAAATAATTGAAAAATCATATACCTGTCCATTGAGCTCCTCTGGTTGTTGCTGGGCAGCTTCCTTCAAGTACTCGACTCTCACACCCTCTCTCACTACATCCTCACTTGCCCTATGACCTCCTCCTATAGGTCCCCAGCCGTTACCAACACCTCTTCCCTCCCAGACCAGATATCCCTCCTCCTAGTCACAGGCCTGGCATTTGACATTATTAGGGACCTGCCACACTTTGCCATAAACAGATAAAATGTACCGGGAACTTTCCTCCCACACACTCATCATTCTCTCACTTTATGTAACTTGACAGAACCTATGACCCTTCAGGCTTTTACGCCCTTAATGTACGAGTCATAAAGGCAAGTATGAACTTTTCATACTTCCCTGTTGGGCGCTGTAAACGCTTCTGCGCTTCACCTTGCACAGGATGTAAGGGGGTGCCCAATAAACTAGCCCCCTCGTGGGCAAATCTGAATCTTCCTTCAAGTGAAAACAGGAGCGAACTCGTAACAATAGTTTTAAATTAGACAAATTTAGATTTAGGCGCGAGATAGATAAACAATGGCTTAGAAATAGAGTAGTGGGTGAGTGGAACAAGTTACCAAGCATTAACTCGAATACGCTGGATAGCTTCAAACATAGGTTGGATGGATATGAGCGATAGGGGTTGGGTGTAAATGGGACTGCCCAGAATGGGCCAATAGGCCCCACTGCAGTTTCCTCCAATCTTATGTTCTTATAACCACTATAGCAAGCTAACAAAACTGATCGATAGAGCATAAACGTGTTAAACTACAATATAACCAAAACAGCTGTTATTCATAGGTGGACTTAAAAAGGTATTCTGCAGCGTGTTTGGCAGCTCGTAGAAGACGCTGAATATTAATGTGCAGTGGATAGTGGCTGGCTGTTAAGCAACCCTACGTTTGAAAAGATTGACTACAAAACAGATTTTGGAACAATAGTGAAACGTCGTCAGGTGCTAACACAATCGTTTTATGTTACAACACTATCTTTCAACTCTCGGACCAGCTGCAGAAGTAGGGTCCAGCTGTTAGATCATCACCATCTGGACACACCAAATACCAAGTCAACTGCTAGACGGTGCATGACTTATAGGGAGTCAAGAAGGTCTTCCATGAATGAATCAGGTGTTCGATGACGACCTGAATGAATTAGTCCTTAGAATTGCATCTAAATTAGGCACTCAATGGAAAATCTTATGGAGTTACCTTCTGGAGTCAACACCTGTGACAAACAAATACAAGAATGGCCTCCGATGTCACCTGGAGGAGTGGCTATGTGGGCAAGTCATTAATAAATATTGATATACAAAATATACCTTTGAACGACTGATCTGTAGGAAAAATTAAGAGGAAATATAATTCATATAATATAAAACTACTTTTCTCATATACCGTATGTGGCGTTTGCCTATCGGAATTTTTTTGATTACTTGATAATTATACACCCCTGGAGGGTACACAAGTATGGCCAGCATGCCTGTAAGCTTCCATAACACAGAGCTTCATAGCTTTGTTTTCAGACAAGTAAATTTGTTGAAAAATTACACAAATAGAGAAAAATAAAGGAAACCGTTTAATTCCTCAGACGACCTTGGACGATGATGTTGGCTGTCTTTCTATGTCAACACTTCAGCGATTGCTACAAGAACCAACCTCACCTAACGATGATGAACTACAGTATCTTGTATTTAGATTCGGTCGCTGGTAAGCGTTTGTATATCAACACTTGAAGCGCAAATATGGCGGCGGATGAACGTGTTTAGACATCTCCATTATTGGTAAGTAGAAACAGAGAGTTTTATGCTGCTAGAATAGTGCAATTACTACCCTTGATACGCTCTTAAAGACCTTCATTGTTGAAGCGCAGTAATAACATTATAACAGCAATTGTAAGATGAATATCTACAGAGAAGCAAAACACGAAAATTACAATTTCTTTACTTTGATTTATGTTTTTTTTGAGGAAAGAAAAGTTGTTTTTAATAGAAAACTAGTCGAAAATAGTTGGTTTAGGCGGACAAGGACTGTCAAATATTACATTTTGGAAACGTATTGCTAAAAGTGACAACACTATAGGCCTGTTGTTAGATAGATACTCAATGAAAGTGTCAAACACCTTTACTATAATTTATCATGTATATAGGAAATGTAGGCATTCAACATACTGTAAATTGCTCAGATCAGAATTATTATTTACGTTAAGGTGGGGAAAGGATGGAAGGCATGCTGGGGCTCAAGGCACAGCCAGACATGAGGGATAGAGAAGTCAGAACATATAGTCGTGGGGGGAAAGGTTGGAAAAGAAGTTTAATGAGTTAAACAGAGGGGGACGACACCCCTTGTTTTACATATTACAGAGTTTGTTGCCTAACTAAGCTACGTTAAATACTTTATCCTCTTCGCCCCTTACCGCTCGGGCATGTACTAGCTCAAGAATGTATCTGTACCTGTGCCAGTGTTGGTCTTGAATTAGCTCACACTCTAAAATGCTGAAATTTAAATGAAATTGTATAAATCATCCTAAAAAAAAGAAGATAAAATCAACAAGTAAAGTTTTGGGTTACGATCTGCACACTTTCAATACATTAAGTAGTGAAAAGTTGAAAGTTTAAAATCTCAATAGCATTTTTTACAGATTACAGATTGCCCACGAGGGGGCTAGTTTATTAGGCACCCCCTTACATCCTGTGCAACGTGAAGCGGAGAAGCCTTTACAGTGCCCAACTGGGAAGCATGTGGAGTTCATGCTTGCCATTATGACTCATGCATTAAGGGCGTAAAAGCCTGAAGGGTCATGGGTTTTGTCAGCAAGTTACATAAAGTGACAGAATGATGAGTGTGTGTGTGGGGGGGGGGTGGAAATTTCCGGGAGATATCTGGTCAGGGAGGGAAGAGGTGTTGGTAACGGCTGGGGACCTGTAGGAGGTGGTCATAGGGCAAATGGGGATGTGGTGAAAGAGGGTGTGAGAGTCGGTTGACCACAAAGTTTACAAACAGTACGGCCAGGCTCAGGGATGCCAATGTAATAGGCGTGGCGAAGTACAGTGGGGGTGGTGGAGGTGATATGGTGTGGTGGGGCAGGTACAGTAGGGGTGGAG